GGACCGTGCACACCAGAACTGAGTTCTGAGGAAGGTTTCGTTTCAATTCGGACCGTGCACACCAGAACTGAGTTCTGAGGAAGGTTTCGTTGCAATTCGGACCGTGCAAACCAGAACTCGGCCTGCAGAGTTCTGAGGAAGGTTTCGTTGCAATTCGGACCGTGCACACCAGAACTGAGTTCTGAGGAAGGTTTCGTTGCAATTCGGACCGTGCACACCAGAACTCGGCCTGCAGAGTTCTGAGGAAGGTTTAGTTGCAATTCGGACCGTGCACACCAGAACTGAGTTCTGAGGAAGGTTTCGTTGCAATTCGGACCGTGCACACCAGAACTCGGCCTGCAGAGTTCTGGGGAAGGTTTCGTTGCAATTCGGACCGTGCACACCAGAACTGAGTTCTGAGGAAGGTTTCGTTGCAATTCGGAGGGTGCACACCAGAAATCGGCCTGCAGAGTTCTGAGGAAGGTTTCGTTGCAATTCGGACCGTGCACACCAGAACTGAGTTCTGAGGAAGGTTTCGTTGCAATTCGGACCGTGCACACCAGAACTCGGCATGCAGAGTTCTGAGGAAGGTTTCGTTGCAATTCGGACCGTGCACACCAGAACTGAGTTCTGAGGAAGGTTTCGTTGCAATTCGGACCGTGCACACCAGAACTCGGCCTGCAGAGTTCTGAGGAAGGTTTCGTTGCAATTCGGACCGTGCACACCAGAACTGCGTTCTGAGGAAGGTTTCGTTACAATTCGGACCGTGCACACCCGAACTCGGCCTGCAGAGTTCTGAGGAAGGTTTCGTTGCAATTCGGACCGTGCAAACAGACTGGTCTGAGGAGGTGTTTCGTTGCATGCGGACCGTGCAAACCCAGAAACCCGGCCTGCAGAGATCTGAGGACGGTTTAGGTTGAAATGTTGCGGACCGTTGCACCCCAGGAACTGAGTTCTGAGGAAGGTTTCGTTGCAATTCGGACCGTGCACACCAGAACTCGACCTGCAGAGTTCTGAGGAAGGTTTCGTTGCAATAGGACGTGCACACAGAACTGAGTCTGAGAGAAGGTTTCGTTGCAATTCGGACCGTGCACACCAGAACCTGAGGAAGGTTTCGTTGCAATTCGGACCGTGCACACCAGAGAGTTCTGAGGAAGGTTTCGTTGCAATTCGGACCGTGCACACCAGAACTGAGTTCTGAGGAAGGTTTCGTTGCAATTCGGACCGTGCACACCAGAACTCGGCCTGCAGAGTTCTGAGGAAGGTTTCGTTGCAATTCGGACCGTGCACACCAGAACTGAGTTCTGAGGAAGGTTTCGTTGCAATTCGGACCGTGCACACCAGAACTCGGCCTGCAGAGTTCTGAGGAAGGTTTCGTTGCAATTCGGACCGTGCACACCAGAACTGAGTTCTGAGGAAGGTTTCGTTGCAATTCGGACCGTGCACACCAGAACTCGGCCTGCAGAGTTCTGAGGAAGGTTTCGTTGCAATTCGGACCGTGCACACCAGAACTGAGTTCTGAGGAAGGTTTCGTTGCAATTCGGACCGTGCACACCAGAACTCGGTCTGCAGAGTTCTGAGGAAGGTTTCGTTGCAATTCGGACCGTGCACACCAGAACTGAGTTCTGAGGAAGGTTTCGTTGCAATTCGGACCGTGCACACCAGAACTCGGCCTGCAGAGTTCTGAGGAAGGTTTCGTTGCAATTCGGACCGTGCACACCAGAACTGAGTTCTGAGGAAGGTTTCGTTGCAATTCGGACCGTGCACACCAGAACTCGGCCTGCAGAGTTCTGAGGAAGGTTTCGTTGCAATTCGGAGCTTAGGGACTCTAGGGCTCTAGGGTTTCAGTGTTCGAGATTGCAAGAAAAAGCATGTTCATACAAATCTCAAACTTATCAAATCACTGTTATGAGAAAATTCCGTGAAAACTCATCCGGAGATAAGCTCATGCTGGACACAAAGTAAATCCTGCTTCTTTATGAAACACGTATGCTCTCAGAACTGGGTTTAAACACTTGTGCGGCAGTTTTCCGAACGTGCAAAACACCACGACCGCCAAATCGGTTTCGAGATTTCGCACAATCCATGTGCCAACCATGATAACGTCCAGATCAGACCATATCCATTACCGCACAGCGCCCATGTGCCAACCATGATAACGTCCAGATCAGACCATATCCATTGCCGCAGAGCATCCATCTGCCAATCATGATAACGTCCAGATCAGACCATATCCATTGCCGCAGAGCATTCAAATTGAAACCCAGACTTATTTCAACAAATCGTACTTCTTAGGACTGGGGCACCACTTTGAGGCAACAACAACGGCAACAAATCGTACTTCTTAGCACTGGGGCACCACTTTGAGGCCGAAGCAAAGGCATACTTGGTTTAGCGTTTAGGGTTGAGACTGTTCAGACTCCTCGAGGCGGTGAACCAAATTGCTGTAGAAGCCACGACTCACACGAGATTCCACAGCATGGCCAACCTGAACCATAGCCTCCGCAACATCCAGATGTGCACCAGAGCCGTCCATCAAGTATTTGATGCCGAAATGCGAGGATTCAATCGCATTCGCGGTGTACGTCGTGAACCCCAGGGGGACAGAGCCAAGTCCACTGACCCAGCTTGCCTGCCACTGCGGCCCTGCCGAAGATGCAGTGCAGGATGCTTTGTTTGTGTCAGATGTTCAGTTTTCGCAACTATGGGGTAGGGAAAACACTGTCGAGGCCCAAACTACAAACTCACGACTAGCGGTAGACGGCTTGGGTAGAAACTTCGCAACAAATCATTTGTTACCCCAAGGGCTGATACGGGCTTGGGTCCCTGAAATTAGTTCCCCCTTGCGCGGTTCCCGTACCCTAAACCCTAAACACCCTTTTGCAAGCAGGCCTCGTAGAACCCTAACTCTAGCCTTAAACCCTTCAAGCAAAACTCACCTGTTCCATCCAAAATGTGGTCACGGAGGTAAGCTGCCATTCGCGGCTCGTTGAAGTCGGTTGGGGCGGAGGCAGTGGACATGCGACTCATGTCACTGGACCAGAAGGTATGAAACTGGCAGTCGCTGGGCAAAGTCGCAGAGAACTGCGCAAAATCCAGAATGACAGACAACAGCTCGCGATTCTTCAATCTCGCTTGGCCAGTGACTGCATCACGTCTGGCAGATTCTTCCCGAGTGTTGGTCTTGACATGCTGCAGGCACCGGTGCAGGTACAGCTTGCGGCCTTCTGCTGAGGGACCACTTCATGGCAGCCTGCAGGCATCTGCAATCCAAGAAAGCATCTTCCAGTTTCATGTTCCAGGTCTCGGCGTGCTCGAAGAACAGACGAAGGAGGACTGTGTGAGCTGGCTCATTTTCCGCGTTGGACAAGACAAAGAAAGCTGGAATCATGCGAACAGACGACAACGCCTTGTCGTTTGGCAGCATGCCAACAGCACCGATACAGCCTAACAACAGGCCTTCTCGGTTCGTCTTGTAAGTGAAGTCCAGCAAAAAACTCGTCAGCCCTGAGTCCTGCAATATATCGTGCGTGGAAGGACAAGAAAAAGGGATGCAAATCTCGGACTCACTGCAAACCACATGGTCCCCATATATGCGAATGCACTCGGGAGGCGCCGACACAAACTTCCGGAGCTGCTCTAAGCAATCCGTGCTGTAGGTGTGCTCTGCCGTTGAAGAAGGCCTCTGGTTCTTGACCTGCCACGTGGCCGGGAGATGCTCAGCAGGCACTCCGGCTTCTGTCATCTTCTTCATCGCTTTGGCCGGGCTGAACTGAGCTCCATACTCTCGAGCAAGGACTCGCTTCAGATTTCGCAGCACACGGCAATTATCATACAACCAACATTTGGTGCTTGGGTGGGGTGGGAATGCTCGCGAGGCAAAACAGTTGTTAACCTTTTCGTGGCCTAAATGATGTGTTTGGGCTCTAGGGTAGCTAAGTACTTGTGTGGCATATGTAGCAAACAGCGCACCCAAAACAATTGTTAACCTTTTCGTGGCCTTAATGATGCGTTCGGCAAAGCTGCCGGCTTTCGCAGTACACGGCAACTATCATCCAAGCAACATTTGGTGCTTGGGTGGGGTGGGGATGCTCGCGAGGCAAAACAGTTGTAAACGTTTTCGTGGCCTAAATGATGTGTTTGGGCTCTAGGGTAACTAAGTACTTGTGTGGCATACGTAGCAAACAGCGCACCCAAAACAGTTGTTAACCTTTTCGTGGCCTTAATGATGTGTTCGGCGAAGCTGCCGGCTTTCGCAGTACACGGCAACTATCATCCAACCAACATTTGGTGCTTGGGTGGGGTGGGGATGCTCGCGAGGCAAAACAGTTGTTAACCTTTTCGTGGCCTGAATGATGTGTTTGGGCTCTAGGGTAGCTAAGTACTTGTGTGGCATATGTAGCAAACAGCGCACCCAAAACAGTTGTTAACCTTTTCGTGGCCTTAATGATGTGTTCGGCGAAGCTGCCGGCTTTCGCAGTACAACGGCAACTATCATCCAAGCAACATTTGGTGCTTGGGTGGTAGGGGGATGCTCGCGAGGCAAAACAGTTAACCTTTTCGTGGCCTGAATGATGTGTTTGGGCTCTAGGGTAGCGAAGTACTTGTGTGGCATATGTAGCAAACAGCGCAGCCAAAACAGTTGTTGACCTTTTCGTGGCCTTAATGCTGTGTTCGGCGAAGCTGCCGGTTTTTGCAGTACACGGCAACTATCATCCAACCAACATTTGGTGCTTGGGTGGGGTGGGGATGCTCGCGAGGCAAAACAGTTGTTAACCTTTTCGTGGCCTGAATGATGTGTTTGGGCTCTAGGGTAGCTAAGTACTTGTGTGGCATATGTAGCAAACAGCGCACCCAACACAGTTGTTAAGCTTTTCGTGGCCTTAATGATGTGTTCGGCGAAGCTGCCGGCTTTCGCAGTACACGGCTACTATCATCCAACCAACATTTGGTGCTTGGGTGGGGTGGGGATGGTCGCGAGGCAAAACAGTTGGGTGGGGCGGAGATGCTCGCGAGGCAAAACAGTTGTTAACCTTTTCGTGGCCTAAATGATGTGTTTGGGCTCTAGGGTAGCTAAGTACTTGTATGACATATATAGCAAATAACGCACCCAAAACCGTTGTTAACCTTTTCGTGGCCTTAATGATGTGTTCGGCGAAGCTGCCGGCTTTCGCAGTACACGGCAACTATCATCCAACCAACATTTGGTGCTTGGGTGGGGTGGATTTGCTCGCATACAAAACAGTTGTTAACTTTTTCGTGGCCTAAATGAAGTGTTTGGGCTCTGGGGTAGCTAAGTACTTGTGTGGCATATGTAGCAAACAGCGCACCCAAAACAGTTGTTAACCTTTTCGTGGCCTTAATGATGTGTTCGGCGAAGCTGCCGGCTTTCGCAGTACACGGCAACTATCATCCAACCAACATTTGGTGCTTGGGTGGGGTGGGGATGCTCGCGAGGCAAAATAGTTGTTAAACTTTTCGTGGCCTACATGATGTGTTTGGGCTCTAGGGTAGCTAAGTACTTGTGTGGCATACGTAGCAAACAGTGCACCCAAAACAATTGTTAACCTTTTCGTGGCCTTAATGATGTGTTCGGCGAAGCTGCCGGCTTTCGCAGTACACGGCAACTATCATCCAACCAACATCTGGTGCTTGGGTGGGGTGGGAATGCTCGCAAGGCAAAACAGTTGTTAACCTTTTCGTGGCCTGAATGATGTGTGTGGGCTCTAGGGTAGCTAAATACTTGTGTGGCATATGTAGCAAACAGCGCACCCAAAACAGTTGTTAACCTTTTCGTGGCCTTAATGATGTGTTCGGCGAAGCTGCCGGCTTTCGCAGTACACGGCAACTATCATCCAACCAACATTTGGTGCTTGGGTGGGGTGGGGATGCTCGCGAGGCAAAACAGTTGTTAACCTTTTCGTGGCCTAAATGATGTGTTTGGGCTCTAGGGAAGCTAAGTACTTGTGTGGCATATGTAGCAAACAGCGCACCCAAAACAGTTGTTAACCTTTTCGTGGCTTAATGATGTGTTCGGCGAAGCTGCCGGCTTTCGCAGTACACGGCAACTATCATCCAACCAACATTTGGTGCTTTGGCGGGGTGGGGATGGTCGCGAGGCAAAACAGCTGTTAACCTTTTCGTGGCCTAAATGATGTGTTTGGGCTCTATGGTAGCTAAGTACTTGTGTGGCATACGTAGCAAACAGCGCACCCAAAACAGTTGTTAACCTTTTCGTGGCCTTAATGATGTGTTCGGCGAAGCTGCCGGCTTTCGCAGTACAACGGCAACTATCATCCAAGCAACATTTGGTGCTTGGGTGGTAGGGGGATGCTCGCGAGGCAACACAGTTGTTAACCTTTTCGTGGCCTACATGATGTGCTTGGGCTCTAGGGTAGCTAAGTACTTGTGTGGCATATGTAGCAAACAGCGCACCCGAAACAGTTGTTAACCTTTTCGCTGCCTTAATGATGTGCTCGGCGAAGCTGCCGGCTTTCGCAGTACACGGCAACTATCATCCAACCAACATTTGGTGTTTGGGTGGGGTGGATTTGCTCGCATACAAAACAGTTGTTAACGTTTTCGTGGCCTAAATGATGTGTTTGGGCTCTAGGGTAGCTAAGTACTTGTGTGGCATACGTAGCAAACAGCGCACCCAAAACAGTTGTTAACCTTTTCGTGGCCTTAATGATGTGTTCGGCGAAGCTGCCGGCTTTCGCAGTACACGGCAACTATCATCCAACCAACATTTGGTGCTTGGGTGGGGTGGGGATGCTCGCGAGGCAAGACAGTTGGTAACCTTTTCGTGGCCTAAATGATGTGTTTGGGCTCTAGGGTAGCTAAGTACTTGTGTGGCATTTGTAGCAAACAGCGCACCCAAAACAGCTGTTAACCTTTTCGTGGCCTTAATGATGTGTTCGGCGAAGCTGCCGGCTTTCGCAGTACACGGCAACTATCATCCAACCAACATTTGGTGCTTGGGTGGGGTGGATTTGCTCGCATACAAAACAGTTGTTAACCTTAATGATGTATTTGGGCTCTAGGGTAGCTAAGTACTTGTGTGGCATATGTAGCAAACAGCGCATCCAAAACAATTGTTGACCTTTTCGTGGCCTTAATGATGTGTTCGGCGAAGCTGCCGGCTTTCGCAGTACACGGCAACTTGCATCCAACCAACATTTGGTGCTTGGGTGGTGTGGGGATGCTCGCGAGGCAAAACAGTTAACCTTAATGATGTACTTGGGCTCTAGGGTAGCTAAGTACTTGTGTGGCATATGTAGCAAACAGCGCACCCAAGACGGTTGTTAACCTTTTCGTGGCCTTAATGATGTGTTCGGCGAAGCTGCCGGCTTTCGCAGTACACATCAACTATCATCCAAGCAACATTTGGTGCTTGGGTGGGGTGGGGATGCTCGCGAGGCAAAACAGTTGTTAACCTTTTCATGGCCTGAATGATGTGTTTGGGCTCTAGGGTAGCTAAGTACTTGCGTGGCATATGTAGCAAACAGCGCACCCAAAACAGTTGTTATTCTTTTCGTGGCCTTAATGATGTGTTCGGCGAAGCTGCCGGCTTTCGCAGTACACATCAACTATCATCCAAGCAACATTTGGTGCTTGGGTGGGGTGGGGATGCTCGCGAGGCAAAACAGTTGTTAACCTTAATGATGTATTTGGGCTCTAGGGTAGCTAAGTACTTGTGTGGCATATGTAGCAAACAGCGCACCCAAAACAGTTGTTAACCTTTTCGTGGCCTTAATGCTGTGTTCGGCGAAGCTGCCAGCTTTCGCAGTACACGGCAACTATCATCCAACCAACATTTGGTGCTTGGGTGGGGTGGGGATGCTCGCGAGGCAAAACAGTTGTTAACCTTTTCGTGGCCTGAATGATGTGTTTGGGCTCTAGGGTAGCTAAGTACTTGTGTGGCATATGTAGCAAACAGCGCACCCAACACAGTTGTTAAGCTTTTCGTGGCCTTAATGATGTGTTCGGCGAAGCTGCCGGCTTTCGCAGTACACGGCAACTATCATCCAACCAACATTTGGTGCTTGGGTGGGGTGGGGATGCTCGCGAGGCAAAACAGTTGTTTACTTTTCGTGGCCTAAATGATGTGTTTGGGCTCTAGGGTAGCTAAGTACTTGTGTGGCATATGTAGCAAAGCAGCGCACCCAAAACAGTTGTTAACCTTTTCGTGGCCTTAATGATGTGTTCGGCGAAGCTGCCGGCTTTCGCAGTACACGGCAACTATCATCCAACCAACATTTGGTGCTTGGGTGGGGTGGGGATGCTCGCGAGGCAGAACAGTTGTTAACCTTTTCGTGGCCTGAATGATGTGTGTGGGCTCTAGGGTAGCTAAGTACTTGTGTGGCATATGTAGCAAACAGCGCACCCAAAGCAGTTGTTAACCTTTTCGTGGCCTTAATGCTGTGTTCGGCGAAGCTGCCGGCTTTCGCAGTACACGGCAACTATCATCCAACCAATATTTGGTGCTTGGAAGTGTTCGAGGTGGTCTCCTGCCCTGGCCCTTCTGAGGTCCCAGTAACGCGCGTGCGCACGCGAAAAGGTCTTTGGCAGCCTTGTTTCGACCCTTGTTTTGTTGATGTTCGAGAGTTAAGGGACGAGATGCAAGTCATGACTTTTGACAGGTGGGCACTTCCAGTTGGGCACCTTCAGTTGGGTACCTCCAATTGGGCACCTTCAGTTGCGCACCTTCAGTTGGGCACCTTCAGTTGGGCACCTCCAGTTGGGCACCTCCAG